ACGTCAACTCAACTCATATCATTGTGGGAAAATTCTACTACCAGTCCTTCATCATCTTAGACGAAATAGGTTGAATACATCTCATTATACTGATTTAATGGTAGTCTCGAAACTCTACTCCAATACGAAAATACAATTATTGTGTCGGTATGCAGCCCTTGACGAGTTACATTCATTCTTCAGAATCTTTGTCAGCCAAGGTCGCTTAAGGTGATTTAGAATTGTTCATTTAATGTTCCCACGAGCAGATGAGTAGGCCTCTCAATGCCATTGCATTTCACTTATTTGCCTCCTAAATGGATATCTCAAAGAATTATGGCCCAGACGCACTTGTAGCATTTCGATGCCTGCATTGTGGGGAAGGGAATCACGACTGTTTCGTGTCCACTTGACGAGTGTAGCAAAAGCACTGAGTTAATTGCTTCTAAATGGACACTCGGACCGACACTCCCAGATCGTCTGAATCATCCATTTTTCATCATCACAAAAGGAGGTCTGCATCAAGACGGCATTACACCTCAACTGTGAAGCTGCTCCGGGGCACCACTGGAGCCCCATCCCACAGAATGCCCTTATAAATAAGCAATGAGGACGCGCTCTGGCTAGACGCAAAGTTGGGTTTTCTGTAAATGTCGGACCACTTTACCTCATCTTTATTTTGACCACCCTTCTCGGTATTAGCCAGAGCCCGGATGTGTGTAGACATGCCGACGGACCAATTGAATATGTGGACAGAGACTGTCTGCCCTTGAGTTTGCCAACACTCTAAGAGTCCTGGCTATGGTAGAAGTGGAGATGTAAGACGAGACATGTGATAATCTACTCATTCACACACACAAAGTGAATCATGGGTCGTACAGTAAAATGGCAGCCCCACTTTTAAAACCATTCCTTTCGTGGGGACGGACAACACATTTTAATGACAAGGGGCTAGGAGAGTTTTAATCTTCTTCTCATTTCCATGCCAAGGGGTCTCACTTCAAACAATAGAGACTGTAGAATCAAGAATGGCGTCTGAAAAAAAACAACTTCTTATGTAAGCTTCTTTGAGATGTATTTGGCATAAGTCAATAAATGGCTGCAGAGATAAGTATTGCTAAATTGCTAAATGTACCTCAGCAGAGGAAACCACGAGTGGAAAATGAAAGCTTATTGTTCGGAGCCGTAGCAGCACACTCTAATTTAGCCTCAGTTACAAGGATAAATTTTTTTTCGCGTATATTGAGACGAAGGTGTGGCCTTTTGATGTATTTAAGTGGTTTTACTAATTTAGTCTTGTTTTCAGGTTGACATAATGCAACGAATCTTGTCCGGAGTCCTTTACCATGATGCTTATGATAAATTTCAGCGTCGGATCTTCGTCGTGGTACATTCTCAATAGTTTCACAGCATCACTGCAGGCATATTCAGTGAGTCTTACCAGTCTTGGCCCATCTCGATACATCTTACTTCTCTCTCTCTCACAACGTATCCCTTATTTACACTGTACTACTCCAGAGGAGTGCCATTTTGAGCGAGTTAATGAATAGCCAAATAGAAACATGCTATAAATTGTGATCGGGAGCGAGTGAGCTACGAGGATAGGGGGTAAGTGGATGTATCGAGGCAGACAGTCGGTCAGAGGATTGACCTCCCTTGCCTCTTTGACGAGTCGTAACTTGGTGTCTGGAATGGCACGGGGCACTGACGATGCCAGCTATTATGCCGGTGAAAGCTTTGGAAAAATAGCAAATCCACGGCCCGTCGTGAATTATCAAGACTACTATGGAGGTGGGACTCGTGCAAGGTATGTCGTCCTGACAACATGACCAAGTCTGAAAAACGAATAAAACCGTTTCTATGAATTGCTTGCCTTGCTCATGTATTTTTTCGCCTCGTAGCTCTGGTATCTGCTGGTCAAACAAGCCGTAACAACCCAAAAGAGGGGCTGAATTTTGCCAGCAGAACTAGCTGAATCCTGTATCCAAGCGTAGCGCTCCCGCGCAACACTCACAACATTTTCGGTCGCGTCTGCACACCTCCAGTCTCTCAAACAGGAGGAAGACCTTTGAGGTACTGACCCGGAGACCAAGGTATGAGGCATGTGGGACACCAAAAATTGAATAAAACTAAAGAATGAAAAATCTATGGCACCTCAAAAGTAGTGGCAAAACTTCTTCTGTTCCACATTTTTCTGGTAGTTTATCAAAAAGTGTCTCTTAACTTAGCAGAAAACTACAATTTTTTTTCAGAAACCTTCAAGCGAATGTACTCAAACAATTTAAAATAAGGACTATAGTTAGCCAAGAGTTCCTAAGGTTTATTAGAGCTACCAGTTGAATTTCCCATAATCAAAAGAGTGAGCTTCACAATGCCACAGTACTTCACTTAATCTTGCCTAATAAAAGGATTTGTTACTAGGGCTAAAACTTATTTTCAACTTCGCCTAGGTCTCATTATCACACTTTATGTTTATAGGTAGTATTTTTGGCTTTAATAGCAAATACAAGTTTGTCATGTCAAAAATTGGACGGCCAAAAGGAGCCAGCTCAGCGACACCAGCTTGCACGCCAACTTCTCCTGGCTTAAAAAAAACTCGTTTTCGATTAAAGTAGTGTTTCAGTAGTTGTATCGGTACATCTTAATTAGGCATCTAGTCAGCCTAGATCGCTTAAGGCAATT